CGACGACCGAGCCGGTATAATTTCCGAAGGCGTCAATACCATGAATGGCAGGTGGCTGAATTTTACGGAGACTTGCCACGGTCTCCAACACTCTTCCTTTCTCAACCGGACTTGGGACCGGCCATGGCACAGTGTCTAAAAGGTCTATTTCGAGATCAGGGGGTGCCGCGTTCGATTCCACCGAAGGGCAACTTTTGTCTTATTCACGAATTACCTTGAGCAAGGAATTTACCAAACATTGTTTCAGACCGTAGTTACTCAGTAGGTCGAGTGTCGAACTCAGAACTGATAAATCTCGAATTCAAGCCTCGGTCGGGGTCGCCAGCCCTTCTTTCGATTCTGATAAACGAGTACCACTCTGCGGGTAAGCAGAAGTGCTTGTCAAATGGCTGTAGACTCTGCCTTCAAAAAAGGTACTCCTGGCTGATGGCACAGAAACATAAATCAGCGCCATACCACTAATTTCATGAAAAGAAGGGTATCAAAACGGTCCAATCATGAAAATGAACGGAAGAACGACATTCTAACAGTAACAAACATTCATTTTTCTATTTACTGAAGAAGAAAATGAAGGTATCACTGAAACGAATATTCACTATTGTTCCTGAGATGTAGTCCTAACAATATTTCGACTGATCAAATCTTAACTCCAATAGATTAGAAGGCAAATAAACTAATAATAAACTATACACGAAGTCATTTCGACCCCTTTGGCTCAGGCAGTTTTGGCGATGCAGATCCGATGGCAGTTAGTAATGGGAAATGGTGAATTCGGGACGAGCAGAAACTTTCAAAACGGTAAAGAAATTTCTAGACAATACTTGTCAAACCTAATTATTTACTGGAACCCATTTACGCAGGTAAGAGAAATAACCATCAAAAGGCAACAAAGACAGCTCAAAACTGATGACAGCAACTCAGTTAACGAAGTTTAGGGTTGTGACTATAAGGAATTTTTACGCCGATGCCATGTACATCTACTTTCGTATTTTCTTGACCATCCGTTAATGCACCGACTTCAGTAAGTGGAAGGTCTGGGAGACTTGGCCAACGTGCAGAGAAGGGTTGAATTACACTACTCTTATGCCTGAAGGGACGTGGGTAACTCGTTGCAGATGTGAAACCAAAGGCTAGTAGTCCGTTTTTTCCATCCTAAAAAACCTGCTAGCACACGCGCCTGAACCATTCACCGCAGGTGCAGCGAATCTAACTAAATTAGGGCTTCAACAAAAGACATAAGAAGACTGTGAAGTTCCGGAAAAACGACAATTTGAACTAACTGTGTCAGCTCGAAACCCAAATTATAAAATTTTCGTCACAGAAAGGAAAAGAAAGTTTGTAATCATTAGAATGTCAATCTTCCTAATGCTTTCATGCTGCGGTAATTTACGGCGCGTTTCGTTTCTTGAAGTTAACAAAGGAGTACTCATTAGCCTTTCCATGCGATTAGCCAGAAGTGACTCATTTTAAGGCAAAGTCAACAGCAGTTACGTGGTACAATCTGCAGTCCAGTTTCCTTTCCTCAGAATGGTACGCAGAAGAAAGGCGAGTGACGCGACAGGGGCTAGAATTCTGTACGTCTTGATTCTCAGTTCCGAGTAAGGTCAAGGTTAATACAATCTCAGCATTAGGGGGTAAAATGAAAATTCAATAGCACAATATAAGAAAAAGTAATACCCGGCATCCTGAGCCTCGTGAGCTCGAATAATGGACAGCAAGCGGTTTTGTTGTAGAAAATCGCAACAAGCTGCAAAGCTGAAAACAGTAAGTGACAGCGACAGAAAGTTAGAAGAACGAGGAACTCGATCTAGCCGTTCGACAAAAAATCTCACCTATAAAAGTATGAGCAACCGCGAACAGAGTTGTGAGAAAAATGTTCGGTGTTCGTCTCGCTACCGAAGTCTTCTAGCGGATCCGACCAAAGCAGATCACACATCGGACCGAAAGCCGGGGGCTCTTTAAACCTGTCCAGCTGAAAAACAAACGAACGGTACGGTTTTAGATGGGAGGTCGACGAACGGCAAAGAGTTAACTCTTTCGCTACAAACCCTTTTGATATCTTCCAGACTATGAAGTTCCGGCGACAAGCCGCCATGTACACAAAGAAATTGTTGGTTCATTAAGGCAGCTAATGGCAGAGCATCGAAAGAATCCATGCATGCGTCGTACACTTTCTCTGAATACTTGATTTTACCTGAAAGACAGCAAAACGTATCATTAAACATGCACAATTAGCAGCGAAATTATAATTTCAAACAAACAAGCTATATTCATAACCAATTACATTTCGATCGTCGTAAACTACGGCTAGTAATCTTAGGAACAGAAACAAATTTTCATGTGCCATACTGGAAGAGAAAAGAGAATATCGAAGACAATGAGCCGCCACTAGAGGGTTTCGGGCATAGAACAAACAGGCCGTGCTGACCACGGCCATGACGTGGAGACCTGAATGGGACCACTGAGTACCATCTACATGAGTGCATTTTTGAACAGAGTATTTACCTCAATACAAGGTAAATTCAGTCGCCTGAATCAGATCTGTAACGTATCTCACGGACAGGAATAAAATAAAAAAACATCAAACCATCGTGGTCTTCCGCTACAGGTAAGTAGGATAAGTAGTATAAACTTCAAATTACATAATCCATAAGAAATGATATACATATCGACAAGTTGTGCGTAATATATATGCACCCAATAACTCGATTCAGGCGTCCGCCATGCAGTTACAGGGGATGATATAAGATGAAGATGAATCGCGAACATTTACTTGCCTGAGCCGCTGTAACAGAAGTGAACAATTGCAATAAATTTCCAAATAGTAATCCGATGAGATTTGACAATCGCTGGTGTTAATAGCACCTTTATTTGTTTCGAGGCAATAGGAAGATACTAGAATTACAAACATAAACGGATGATGTGTGGGGGACACATGCATTAATTCGAAAATGAAATTATATGGTTTCTTCATCTCACCATCTACCATGTGAACAGAGTACAAGATGCCAAAGCAATACAGATGAAAGAACAACGCGACGATTGATAGGTGAAACCATAAACTAGAAAGAAATACTTCGCGCCTACTGGATTATCAAAATCAGGTTACGGGTAAATTCAGCTAAACAACGCTACTCAAACTCTTAAATGCATGTTTCAATCCTTTTGTCATTTGTTCTAGTGGTCACTATCACATGCATTAGTTTATGTAACTGTGCAGGTACTATTAATATGTTATCGCCTACAGTGAAAAAATCCATCCCTAAAAGTATAGACGGAAACTGATTCGAGGTTCACTTCAAGTCAGTAATATTGCGGTACTACAGGATTGTGATTAAGCCTACCCGCATGTCTAAGTCTACGCATTGCCAAATTCACGTCGAAGTTTACGTAATCACTTTGATGTAGGAGGAGGCTTAGGCAATAATGGGATAAAAATCGCACACTGCCTCTTTGGACTGGAAAGAAAATTGGTTTCAGGCAATATCGGTATGCTGATTCGTTTCAGCCAATGTTAATGCCGATGGATTACCACTCTGGACAACAACACTTACCTAATTCATCGTCTAAACTGGTAATTTGTCCATAGCGGTATGAAATGAATCAAAACCAGGAATGTGCGATTTTTGACGCATCACCATCCCAGTTTAAGTTTAAACCGAAGCCCATGAATTAACATACTGAATGTTGCAAAGCGGTATAACACTCTAGCTTTGACAAGATATCAGAAAACATCTGGACACGGGCTACTGCATTTCCAGACCAACAGTTTAAGCTAACGACACCTAAACATGCAGAAACCAATGCAGAAACATAAGGACAGAGTTAGACTCAGGGATAAGGTGGTAAACCTGAGGCATTACCGGCTTGGATAGAACCGCCAACCAGTTTCAGCCAATAGCCGTAGGGACGGACTATTACTCTAGTAGTAATGTACACGCTCTTACGCGCACAATTTGTATTTACTCTAGAAAAAAAAACAAGAATATAAAACCGTATAAGAATAGACATAAATGTAATAGTATAGAATTTTAATTTTCGAAGTTCTGTCGTCATATTGCGCAAGTCTTTGCTTTCTGCTTCTATGAAACCTTAGTAAATAATAGCTACATCATCCAAAATTTCTCAAAATGCTTTGATTATAAATCGTAATAATTAATAATTGAGAACCGGTCTGACAAACGACGCGAGCTTTGTGGGACTGATGACAGTAAAGGGTCCAAAGAACGATTAACGACAAAATCACTATTGATAATTTTAATTACGGATGCTGGCGACACAGCAGAGCTATATTGCGGGCTAGCTGACAGTGAACATTGATAAAGCGTGTATTTTTTATCGATAATCGCAAATGATTTAACTGAGGTCGTTTAATGCTGGTCCCACCAAGTAGTTCAAAGTTTGGACAACAAGGAAACGCACCGCTATTAATTAAAAAAATGTTACGTTAGTTGATTCAGTGAACCGTAGGCATCGGGCAATTACCTATTCATCGGTGAATACAACCAGAAAGCGCTTGGTCATTCTTTATATTTATAATGGTCGGCAACGAACGTCCGGTCTTAAGGCATTTCCAGAATGGATATCGTTCGTTCCCGGAGTTTTTGGG